CGCGGGCTCGCGCGGGGCCGCGATGGGCTCGGTGGGCCGCGGCCGCGGGGACGACGGCGGCGGACAGGTGGCGAGGCACGATTGGCTGTGGGCGCGGGCGGACATGTACAGCGGCGGCAGGGAGGGGTTTTGCTAGGGTTTCGGGAGGATTCATCCGCGAATTTCGAGGGGAGGAGCTAATTTATAGATTCTGGGAGCTAGGAGACTTCAAATGGAGTGTGGTTTTCGCCCACACGATTGTGATCGAACGACTCAGAGCATGGAGGGGGTTTGGATGGATTTTGGGCCAATTTGGAGGGGTGTTGGGCTGCAACACAAAGAGGGCTTTTACGGTTACCCGGTTAACCGTAGGAGTATCAAACGACCTCCAAATGGCCCGAAACTTGACAGGCGGTCTACCGGTGCTATACCAAGGCCGCTTGTCAAGCCTCGGTCCATTCTGAGAATGTTTATCACCCGCTCACAACAGGAGACAAAAGGGGGAACGCCGGAGGACAATAGGAGTGCCGGATTGCAAAACGGACAACGGGGAAAAAGCTCGGATGCATGAGACGAACACGTATGCAATGCAATGCAATGCAATGCACATGATGACATGATAAAATGCAACACGCAAGCAAATGACATGGCAACGATGGCAAATAACTGGCGGACACCTGGCGCATCGAATCCGGGGCGTTACACCCCCCCCCCCTCTCGCACACAATAAATATGAAATGTGTGTGATGAATGCATCATACATAATATATAAATAGAACCATGTGACAGAAAGAAAAACGTTTGCGAAGATGAAATCATCACGCACACACACCTTTTTCGAGCGAACCGTGTGCAACATGTTTTGCCCAAACAAACTCTGTATGATCCACTGACTATTAACACACACTTAGTTTAAGTGCCTTGTGTGCGATAAAGGGTCTGCGTGCGTTCACAGGGTTGTGATCGTTTAAAAAGGGAGAAAAGTGTACGCTATGTCCCTCAACTCTTGGAGAAGTCTAGATTTAGTCCTTCAACTTCAAAACCAGGCGATTTGCAGAGAGTGCTCAACAACAAGAAGAACATATTTTTTTTCTTTCCTTTCCTAATCCTAAGTGGCTAGGGCAAACTCTTCTCTCCAAACTTCGTCACGAGCCCGTGGATTCGCCTCCCCTTTGCCTACTGCTTCGGCGGCCGGTGGCGGGGAGGGGAATCCCGGTGCCACTGCTCCAGTTAGTAGTTTAGGTTAGCATTTTTTAGTTTTCGCACGTGCGGTGCTCAGGTGGATGGCGGCGCTACTTCTTCGAGTTTGTCTTCCGGGTTCTGATCCTCCTCGAGTTCTTCTGTCTAGGCGTAGTCAACGGAGCTCTGACCCGTCTCTTTGGGGCTGTGAGGTTAGGCTTTCTTGTCTTGTGGCGAGATTTGGTGTCATGTGCTTCTGATCTATGCAAGGGTTCAACAACGATGAGTGCGGTTCCAGGGCACTAGTCCTTAGGGGCACGTGCACGAAGATTTATTACTTGTCATTGACAAGGTCCAACCGACTCTGATAGAGGAGCGGCGATAGCAGCGTTTCGGTGGCTTGTTCTGGCGGCAGTAGTGGTTGTTTGGGGGTCTTGGAATCTCAATGTAATTTTTATTATGTTTGAGATGCTTTGTACTTCCGCTGAACTTTAATAATAGATCCAAATCATTGTCACAAAAAATACTTCAAAATCAGACAACTTACACCCTCAACTCTTGAAACCGGACTAGTTTAGTCCCTTGTCTCGGCAGACACGGTATCACTGCTAACTCAACATGGTTTTGATCGGTCTTCATCCACATGGCAATAATTCTCTCTCCTATCTTCTTCCTTCTCACATTGGCTTACTGAGATATTTCATGGAACCTTGCATGCACTGCATGTGTCGACCACGGTAGCACCCTCGCAAGTCCCTCTAGTCAGCCATGATGCCTATGGCTCTACCTCGCCGGCCACCGCGAGCTTGCTGCACCTCGTAGCCCCGTTCTACCTCGTCGGACACCGCGGCCCATAGCAACCCCTGCTTCATGATGAGGATGCAGGTAAGCAGGCGGCATCGCCATGGTGGCCATGAAAGATGAAGGCAAGCCATGCGGGAGGTGGCGCTACCTCGTGCTCGTCCTTGACCTCCTCTTCTCCACTGTCAGGAGCATGTGGTACGGGGTGCGCGAGAACCCAGTCCAGGGGTGGAGCACGAGGAGAAGCTCAAGAGCGTGTCGGGCATCTCCATCTGGTGCACAACTGCAATGGGACGAGGCGGCACCACAGGCATATTAGACGGGGCCGCGACGCTCCCGTACAGCCTCTCCAAGGTGATGATTCAGGGTGGACGCGGTCCGGGCCGGTCCGGTCCCTGACCGAGCCTTTTTAGAACTCTTTTGACAACAAATTTGAACATACAGATTATTAGGTTGCAAAAGAGGTTCAAATGAACGAAAAATAAGCAAGTTTGCAACAAAAACAACACAGGAAGGTGTCCAACTGAAGAAAGTTCAGAGAGACAGAGACTGAACAAATACCAACTGCAGAAAGTTTAGAGGGACTGAACAATTATCAACTGAAAAAATTTCAGAGAGAAGGAACAAGTACAAACTGTCGGCGAGGACATGCAGGACTCCAGGTGCACGTGCAGCAGCTCCGTCCCCCGCGTCCTCCAACTTCGTGCTCAACGGTGGCTTACAGGCGAGGAGGTGGTCGAAGACGGGCAGCTGGAGACAGCGACGGTCGACGACGACGTGCAGGTGCAGCCGTGCAGACGTGACGCTCCCTCCATGGCTCCTCCACTCCTCCTTTCATTGCGTACAGGTGCAGACGAGGAGGTTGTGTTCGACGCTGGCAACGGCGGCCGCCGGCGGCGGCGGCGCTCCCTCCCTTCTGCAGCCAAGAGGAAAGGGGGTCGGGGAATTGGGGGAGCGGGGGCCTTTGCCCTAGCGTCGTATCGGCCCCTAGCAACTATTGTTGGGCCTTGGGCCATCGGTCCGCTCGGTCGGCCCGGTTAAAGACCGGACCGGATCGAAGTTTTTTCGGTCTGATTTTCGCGGCCCGGACCGAACAATTTCTGTAGCGGGCCTGGTGGCTAGAGTGCGTGTGGTGCGGCTGGTGGCCAGAGTGCGTGTGAATGCCACATCTCCTGGTCACAACAGCGACCGCTTCGTCGACAAGGAGCACAACAGCTAAGACAACGCCGAGCTGCGACGCTCCCATGGCGAGCTGCGACTGACATGAGAGATGTTGATGTTGAGCTGCACTGGGAATATGTGCATGAGCCACGGGAGCTCCCGTCGAAACACTGCCACGTGGACGATGACCGGTCAAAACTATGCTGAGTCAGCAGCGATACCGGGTCAGCCGAGACAAGGGACTAAACTTGTCCGATTTCAAGAGTTGGAGATGCAAGTTCTCCGATTTTGAAGTTTAGAGCTTGTTCGGAAGTCATTCACGCTCCACGCTTCATGAACTCAAGGATGGAGCAGAGACGAACATCGTAGCTCTGGGGCTAGCTTCGAGAAGCTGTGGTGTTTCGTAGTGTATTTTCTAGAAGTTTAGAGAAGCTGAGAAATCGCCGCTTCATGGAATCCTTAGAACGCCGAATTCACTAAAATTACAAGATTTGCAACGGTTCGTTTAGTCTCTCTCCTCTCTTCTTTCTTCGTCAACGAACAGAATCACGCCTTTCCCTTCCTTCTTGGGCTTCCATCCTGCCTCCAAATTGGGTTTCCAGCCCATGGGACGATCTCCAACCGGCCTAATATGTCGCTAGACGTGCTGGCATGCCAAGTAGCGACAGAGAAGCTTGTCTCAAAAAAAAAAAGTAGCGACAGAGAAGCTGATTTTGTTATCGAACGGATGGGGAATCGCTGCATGGAGCAAGAAGCTAGGTTCAGAAATCTTTGAAGTGTTGGGAGAGTTTTTGAACAGGCTCTTAGACTAAACCTAGAGTTCGCCAGTAGTTGAGGACGAAAAGTATACTTCTCTTTTAAAAAATATTGATCCAAAGACTTGCAAAATAAGGCAGAAAATTAATGTTTTTATAAGCCAGAAATAGCCCAGATAAGAGATATCACATACTATCTTTCTTGTTTATACCGAGGCCACGTAGGCCAAATGATTTGACTCCATGAGTAAATTCCTAAGCCCAGACTAAGCCCTAACCAGTAACCAGCCAAACTAAGTCTTCGACAGTTCGACTTGCACACCATACAATGCTCTGATACAATTGGATCTTTCCCTGCCAGCGGCTGCTTACTACTGAGAGAATGGCAGGCGGCTCTTGTTGGTAGCGCGGCCGCAGAGGATCGCGTTGGTCGGCACGGGGAGCTCGTCGCGGACGGAGTGCGTCGGCGTGTACACCCGGAGGTAGAACTGCTGGCCCAGGTACCTGCGCACCCAATCCTCCGACCTCACGTTCCACATCCCCACGTTGTCCAGCGCGATGAAGATCGCCGTCCACCCTCTTGGATACACCTTCGCAAACCAACAACAAAAGAGGTGAATAAAAACGCACTGACAGTATCTTGATACTACCACTAAGCATGAATGAAAAGAAAGAAAATCTTACCTGCACCGTGCACCTCGTGACTGCATCCACGAGGTTGTAGCCTTTCCTGCTCTCCTCGCTCCACGCCCCCTTGTCCATCCTATGGACGAGACGAGCAGAATGATCATGGAGCAGAGTATATATACATATGCATCAGCCTCACGATGACCTGATGTACACGTACCCGACGACGAAGACGCTGTAGCCGTCGAGGTGCCAGCTCTGGACGCTGTCCTCGCTGTTCTCGAACACGACCTCGACGAAGCTGCGGTGGTCGGAGTCCATGACGGCCGTCTGGTTCTTAAGCGCCGCGTCGGCGCCGGTCCCGTTCTGCGTCCCGCTGTGGGTGGCCGCGGGCGCGTCCGGGATGCCGTCCATCCGGAACACGCCGCTGATGTTGTAGTAGTCGGCCAGTTTGAGGGGCGTGTCGGCGTCCACGTACGACACGCCGTTCACGCCGTACCTCGGCTTGCCGCCGACCTGCCCCGCCGAGTTGGCCAGCCGGATGGTGCGGCTCACGTTGATCGAGCCGTAGTGGTACGAGCCCTGCGGGTTCGGCCGCGGCCCACTCGCCGTCAGGTTCGTCCTGCACGTGGTCACCACGGCAAGCTCAGACCCAAACACGCCGATTATCACTAGAACGGACGGTCGAGATGTCGTGATCCGTACCTGATGGAGCGAGCCTGGTTCAGTGAAAAGTCAACGTCACTCTGGTTCCCGGCACGCAGCGGCCCGGAGACGGGGCCGGTCGAGCCGGCGTAGCGCAGCACGGCGGTGGAGTTGAGGGTCTGGTTGGTGAACCGCGACGAGACGGCGATGTGGTAGCTCCTGGCGGGGCGGTCGGCGGTGAAGAGCACGGAGAGCGACTGGCCGGCGTGGACGTCGAGGGAGGTGTAGGTGTTCTGCACCGTGTGGGTGCCCTCCACCTCCACGAGCGTTACGTTGTGGTCCTGGATCATGAAGTTGAGCGTGCTCCGCAGGCCGACATTGGAGATGCGCAGCCTGTACGTCTTCCCCTGCTCCACCGTGAAGTTGGCGCGCCCCGGGCCCTTACCGTTGATCAGGATAGCGTCAGGGGAAGGGAGCAGCTTCCCGTCGTCCAGCATGGCTTGGAGAGCCTGACAAGCAAAACCAAGACGGTCAGTTACACACACCAAAACTGAAATGAGCCGACAGATGAGTGCATTTCGTGCAAGCCAACGCCTTGCTTGGTGACACATGTACCTTGTGGGTAGTGTTGTACCAGTCGCCGATGAGCACGGTGAACTCGTCGGCCGGTGGGGGGAAGGGGACGGGGATCCGCGGGCGGCTGTTGATGCGGATGGCGCCGAAGCCGCCGGCCGCCTTGTGGAAGGCGAGCGACGGGAAGTAGAAGAAGCTGCCGATCTGGTCCTTGGCCTGCATGTGGTACGTGTAGTTCTGGCCAGGAGGGATCGGGCAGTTGGTACCGGACACGCCGTCCTGCCACGAGTTCTTCCTTTGCTGGATCCCGTTCCTGTTCATGAGTTACTGTGTATTACGAGTACGTTACTGTTGCATTTGCAAAAATAATGGATAAAAGTGCTTCAGTAGATTAATTCAGCAGGTAACTTATTTGTAGTCGCCGAGATATCCGGAAAGGTGATACGAGATATATTTTGCAGTAATTAATTACCATCAAATTAAGAACGAATAGGAGAGACATCACAATGCATGCAACAGAATTACCCATCACTGTTGTTCTGTGTTTGCAATTGGCAGTGAAGGAATTTGGCATGCATCTATTTTTGTTCAGTGACTTGCTGAATGCTGATCGCCGTTTCAAGATCAGATGCGTTGCAAAGCTTAAACCAGACGGCGCTGCGCGACTTGAGTGCTACTACACGCAAAAAAAAACTCCCCTTTTACGACCGCTTTTTTTGATCTGGACGACACCATAAGTTAATGCAGATCTAAAAAAAATCTAAACTGATGCAAATTAAAGTTGTCCAACGATGTTAGAGCTAGTAAGCTAAAACCGATCACAGACAGAAGGAAGTAATTAATGCAGATTGAACTGGTGCATGCAACGCTTGGAAGAATGTCTCGAGTAAGCTAAAAAGAACTTGCCATGAAAGCAGGAACGGCTCCGGCAGCCGGTTGCGCACGTTGATGACCAGGTTGTCGTTCGTCTGGCAGTCGACCTCCGGCCCCGGAAACTGCCCGTTGATCAGAATACCCTACAGAGATCGAAAAGCAAATGTCGTCGCAGTTAACCTCAGATGCAGCGCAGCACAGATTAGAACAGCATGGCTAGCTTGGCTCTGCACTACATGTACCTGCTGCGGAACTCCTCCGAGCGGATTGATGTCGCCATAGGTGACCTCCCAGTCGAAGAACCTGTAGGGAGCCTCCGCCTGCGCGGAGAGGACGAGGGAGAGGACGCACGCGAGGGCAACCACTCGCGCCGCCGCCGCCGCCATCTCGACCTCCGAGGGGCAGGAGACGAGACTAGATGGGATGGCGCGGAGAAGAGATGGATAGATAGATGGCTCCGCGGGAGTAAGAGATGTGGAAGGCCGGGTGGGCATTTATAGACGGCGGCCCCTCCCGCGCCGTATAGAGATGGAAATCTGTTGGGATCATATCTCGAAATATTTTTTAATCTGTTACGATGTGCAGGTTGTTACAAAAAAAAATCCTTTTTGGAGATGCGCCCCCCTGCGGCCATGCCAGGCTGGCCTGACGGGCCAACTCTGGGCTTGGATTTTCGGCACATCTGGAACTGGGCCTTGGCCTGTGGGGTGTGTATGTGACACACTGCAGAAGCCAGAGTCCGACCCTCTAAAAAAAAGAAGCCAGAGTCCGTGTCCGGGATAAAATGAATCGAGAGTCCGTCCACTTCCAGGTGGGCCCTCCCCACCGTAACTGCAGGCCGGCTCCTCCTCCTCCCGCGGAAGAACCGGCCACCGGTAACCGTCGCCACCGCCTCCCTCCTCCTCCTCCTCACGTCGGTGCGGCGGCGAGGATGCCGTGCTGCGGGGAAAGCGATCCTCCCCATGAGGCCATCAGGGTCCTATCCCAGCCCCAGCGCCACGGCTCACACGGTTCGTCCATTGATTCGATTTGGTCGCGGTGGGGGTTCCGACCGGGGTCTGAATGCCTGACCGGGGGTGGGGATTTGAGCGCAGGGAGGAAGCCCTGGAGGTGTGTCCGGTTAATCGTCATGCTGCTGCATGCGCTCTTCATCGGCGCCGTCTTCCTGCTCGATCCGACCCTCCGGAGCCAAATCCGCCGGGATCAGTGGTATAACCAGCCCCCTCTCCCCTCCTCTGTTCCTCCTTGCCTGTGAAACGTTTCCGTTTGCTTAGATTATATGCTAAGATATCCGATGTTTGGAGTCGATTTTCTCCTGGCTTGTGCTGGCAGCTATTGCTTTTCCCAGCTACCATTTATTCGTGTAATTAGTTCGTGTCATCTCTTGGCCTGCTTTAATTTTGAAGCAAAATAGTTTTGGTGTGTCTCTGCGAAGAATTGGAATTGTATGCCCATAAGTGCCTGATATGTTTGAAGAATATTAGTACTGAGTGGTTCTAATGTTTGACAGCTTATTCAGAATTTATGGATACTGGAAATTCATTATGATATCATATATCTGTTCTCTGTTTTTCATTAGCATCTTGTTATCTACTCCCTCCGTTCCCATATTAATTGACGCTCAAACGGATGTATTACAAGATATGTTACTGGTCATCTGTCTTTAGCCTTCCTACTGTCCACTTTTGATGCCAGGTACATGAGTTTATATGGAGGGCTGGTGTTGTTTACCTTGGCGCAATACCTATATACAGCTAATTCATCACCAGGGTAATTCGTGCTTCTCAATGTTATTGAGCCCTAGAGGAAGGATTATGCATAGGAACAGCGATGCCTTTTACCCTGCACCTCATTTGGTCCTTTTGCTGTTAGGTATGTGGCTGATATGTTGAAGGCTGGATCAGCAATGCACGCAACCTTCATTAATACAACAACAATCTCAAAGTAATGTCGTAAGTTCTTTTGTTTTACCTTAGTTAGATATGTGTATATTTGAAGGGCTGGAGCCTGCCAGTTGCGCAGACTTACTTTATGCTAAATTAAAAATGTTTTTTTATGATTAAGAAAAGACAGGTCTGTTCAAAAAACGGGAGCTTAAATTATTTCATGAGTCGCAGCAAAATAGAGCAACGCAACCCACAATCTGCTACACCTTCGTCGCTTTTGCAAATGATGGATCTGTATCCTCCTCGATCATCCAGCAGGTGCACTTGTCTGGATTTCGAACTAAGTTTTTTCCCCTATTCCGAAGTGTAGTTTTCAATATGTATTGCCATCTATTTTCGTTTCTGTGATATGGTTGTATGTTTCCATTTTGTTTAGGGATTTGACCTGCTCTTACTGCCATCTCATTCAGGTAATCTTATTTATTCTAAATTTGCGGGCCTATTGTAATGTTCTCTATAGTCAAGGCAATGATAAAATAACTGGTGGTAACCAGCCAGCAATATACCCGTCTTGGAATATTGATGTTAGTGCTTATGGCAGAACAAATAAAATTCTCTGGAAAAATATATAGAAATTAAAGATCAGTTGACTTACTATCATTGATGTACATATCATTTCAAGCATGGACTATGTAGTTTGTCTTATGTAAACTTGATTTAAAGATCAGTAGAAAGCAATTAAGCAGGTCTTGTGTCATGTCCAATATGTTTGATTACTAGATTATTATGGCATGTGCTTACTGCTCTTGTTTGCATACCTATGAAGCTGCACCCTAGAGGGGTTAGGGTATGTTGTTCCTGACCAATGTGTACCATACCATTATTATGGGCATGACATAAAAAATGGTCATTGTTTGGATGGTTGCCGCATTCTAGTTAATTTTCCATGCCAACGGTGGCCATTACTAAAAACATTGCTTGCCAATTTTTTGGTAGGGCAAGCTTGGTTCACACCAAACACAACCTTAGTGTATACAGCACCAGTTATGGCCTATAGGGCAGTAATGTGTCAATTATGTTACTCTCCTTTCTCATTGTACCCCATGAGTCGCATATTACAAACCACAAGAAGACTTTCTATCACTTTATGCTTCATTACCATTAACCAATCTGAGAATCTATTTGGCAAGGTAGCAGATTGTTTTTATATTGCATAATGCATAAAGAACTAGTGCAAGCTTACTCTGCTCAGCATAATATTGAGATTGTGTATGTGAGATTGTGTATGTGAGTTTGTTATTCTCAAATATCTATGTCACATCAACTTGCAATGTCCATGAAATATCTTTAACTAGAACACATTTCTGTCATGCTGGTCGCCAAAGCTCATCTTTTGGTGTTGACTACCTTTCACAGCCACCACGAACCAAGCATTGTCATGATTGTGATAAGTGTGTTCTCCAATTTGATCATCACTGTACATGGCTTGGAACATGCATTGGCATAAGGAACCATTGCCGTTTTTGGTGAGATTTTTATTTACACATTTTGCAGTTTATCTTTTGAACACATTAAAATCTCGAATGCACGATATATATTACGTGTTGTAGTTTAGTGTATGCTATTATGTGCAAATGCCGCAACATCCTTACCTTCTCCAGTTTTTGTACACCGCGGTCCCTATTGTTTAACAATAAATCCAGAAGCTCCCTGTGCAGAAGTTATGTTGGAATGCAGGACTGCTCTTTTACCAAATAATGAGGCCATGCCCTCATAGTTTCTCGAGTCTCTACTTTCTCAATTGCTTGATTTCAATTGGAACTGTGTACTGATGACCATTCCCACCCTTTCCCTTAATATTGATCTAGTGGGATTGGCAGGCTTTTACTTCTTTTTGCCGTACAATCCATCAAGCTTTACTCAGATAGTCATATATACCAAAATCCAGTTACCAGTGTTTAACATGATGTCATGTATCTTGTGAATGTGCTTTGGACATATCTGGGGCATGCTAATTCTTAACTCCTAACTGAAAGTACACCGGGTAGGTTTACAGAGTGCCTTGTTGGCATTGTAATGCTTCTGTGGCTCCTGTACTTCTTTTAATATAAAAGGAAAAATAATGAGAAGGAGAACTAATGATTATTAGACTTACGAGGTCTCCCCAATATAAGTAGAATTGCAGCTCTCACAGAAAAAAAAAACTAGTGATTATTGGACTCAAAGTCTCCCGGATGTAAGTAGAAATTGCAGCTCTCCTCCATTCCTTTATTTCTGTTAACAGCTATGTCCACTTAATATGCATTTAATTTTAAAAATATTGCTCTTAAATGCTTCTGATGATATATTGGAATATATATATGTGATGTTATGTTCTATTTTATGACTCATCAAAACTATATCCAGCTTATGTCATTGCATAAGTGATATTTTCTAGGTGGTACATATTTGGACAAGCAAGTTTAGTTGTTTGGACTGTTGCTCTCTACATCCAGTTCTTACATGTGGATATGAACGGGTCCTGGTATGTACCTTCACCTTTTTAGATCTAGTTTCACTACTCATGGTATGTACTTTGGTTTTCAATTTTGTCCGGCAAACATTTTATTTGTTTCTTAATTGACAGGTTGAAGGGTTTGACTGGCTTGACACTGTTGCTTCCGTTGATATTAATCCTCATAGTTTTGCTGATCTTACTCATGTTGCATACGTAAGTTTTTACGTTTATATTCACAGTAGTCTGTTCTTTCAGAATTTGCAATCTGCTATGCAGAATACAAAGAAAACTATAATGATAGCTATTGACATCAGGTTATCTTCAGGCTGTTTTTTTTTTGGGATAAATAGATGTAAGGCAAATATACATTGCCAAGTTGAGCTTGATAGAATTAGCACTCTAAAAGTTACACCAAAATAGTTGTAAAGCTGAATATCTTACATGTTGTGAAGTCGCAAATTAACAATGACCTCTTCACTGGTGATTATTGTATTCACGAGCTTGTGTATATCTGTAGTTACCTTGCTCTTACGAACCAAACAACATATGAAATTGCCAGACGGAAGCGAATATCTTACCTAAGGTATGAAATGGCTGAAGACTAGCATTTTTCTAGTTATATTTGCTTGTCTCTAGTCCACCATAATGAATCGATCAAATGACACTTACAGGGGAGTTCCTAGAAAGGTACATCCTTTCAGCAAAGGTATCTGTAGGAACCTCTATGACCTCTGCCTCTCTAGACAGAAGGGATATGTTCTGGAAGCAGTGCCCCCACTGGACGAACTAGAAGCCCGGGCTAGACCCTACACCTGCCGGGATGTAATCTGCTGCCGGTGCTGCTAGTACGCGCTATATGTGAATATACTTAGTTTAGTTTAAATGATGCATATAATAACATGGTAAAGATACTTGTGGCTCATTGATGTTGTACAGGATATATAGGCACCTTTCTGTCTCCTATAGAATGCATCCGGATCAAACGATGCCATTAGATTGATCT